TTCCTCCAAGTTGGTGGCTCGCTCGAACTCATGCCTGTACAATTTCGTTTTAGCAGCCCCAAAAATAAAAATCTAACGAGCTAAATCGGGTGACGTAAATTTTGTACCACTAAAATTGCTTTGTTCAATTATAAAAATAATATTTAAAATTTAAAGATACAGAAAACATAGTATGAAGCTTCCGCTAGTCTAGTACCGCTTTCGACTAGTCAAGTACCGCCTACCGTACTATTTTTTTAATACATCGTATGAAAAACTTATTTAGCCATTATGTAGTTAAGGTTATATGCTAAAAACATGGGAAAATGAAAAAAAAAAAGGTTTGTCGTATTTTGAGCATGTTCTGGTCTGAAAATGGCAAACCTGATCCCGCTATTAGAATATAAATAACAAAATATTAAAAATCGTTATTTATTGACACGCAGTTGAGTTTATGTGCTAAAACATGAGGAAAATACACAAAAATGTTTTTTTTTTCGAATTTTGAGAATGGAAAAAATACACGAAAAAAATTATTTAGAATTTTTCATAAATTACCTACATAACCTAAATTTTTTTTAATTAAAATATTTTTCCTGAGCTCAATTTTGATACAAAAACTATGAAAAAAATCAGAGTGTTTTTGAGCATTAAAATGTATTTTCATGAATTTTTTCAGATTTTTTAAAGTAAATGATCACTCAGAAAAATTAAAAATATATACATTTTTTGCGATAAGGGGCCACTGAGACCACCTAGGGCCGGCCAGGTGAAGTAGGTGAAGGTGAGGTTCACCAAAAAAATATAATTAAATTGAGACAAATAAATAAAAAATAAAAGCAACATTATTATCTCTAAATTCTGAAATTAATTATTTATTCTCTTTTAATTAATCTAAAAATTAAAAAAGATAACTAGCTTTATTAGCGGTAGGTGCTTGACGGTCAAGTCCTGACATGTGTCACTAGCCGTGTACGATTCAGGAATAGGTGAATATCATGTCATGCGGAATTCATCTGCACAAGCGTTCACTGTTGCCATGGCAACGTGACGTCTGCCTGTCGTTAGTGATAGCTGAGAAAACTGGGCAGTGCAGATCAATTGAAAAATAAACTATCCGTCTTCACCAACTAGTTTAATGTGTATGTAGTATTCCTATTTTTCGGAAATTTCTCTCAGCGACAATATTTTGAAATTTAGTCTATTATGTAGATATAGTTTTATATAGTATAGTTTAGGTAATATAGATATTTTTATATAGTATAGTTTAGGTAGTGTATTTATTAGTTTAGTTTAGTCACAGTATTAAGTTTATTTGTTTAGTGCACTTTATTATAAGCCCATCGACTTAATCTTGTTTTGCAAGAGAGCTTTAAGAAAATATCAAAATGTCGAATTTTGTTTTGCAACTATTACCGGAATCCCATTGTTTTTTCATAGTTTGGCAAAACGATCGTACGCTCTTGCATCTACTTCGGCTAGACGTATGTCAACAATTATAGAGACAAGATGGTCGTCTAATTCAAAACTAATCAGTGTAATTATTGAAGACTGGGAAAAATTAAAAAAGGTGTTGATAATATAATGAATTCTGAAGAGTCAGACCGCAGATCAGTTCAGCTGGCTAAAGAGTTTTTAAGAGATTTAAATGATTCTGAGTTCACATTTTTAGCAACAGTTTTTAGCGACATTTTTCATATAACAGATATTTTATATGATGTTCTTCAAAAAAAGTCCCTAGATAATAATTTTTGTTTAAACCAGATAAGAACTCGTCAATTAATAAGTTAAGAAATGAATAATTTTTTAATTCTATTTTTGAAAAAGTAAGCATAATGACGGTCATTAATACTTCCAAACGGTTTAGGTGTGATGATGGTATGAGCAAGAATGCAATTACTACTCAATACAGAGCATTATTTTTTTAAATATATGATCATATTTTAATGAAAATGGATATACGTTTTCAGGATTGTGATAAATTAAAATTCGTAAGCTGAGCAGATACAACAAAATTTGAGTCATACAGTTTGACCTTCCCTTTCGACGCTTTTCAAAATGTATTTGAGTTTTATGGCACATAATTTACTAAACATCAAAGACAAAAGTCAGCTCTGCCTTCTTTGTGCCTACGAAAATTACAAAAATGTGAATTTGCTAAGATTGGTTATAAAGTTACAACCAATTAAAGACATTGTTGCAGAAGCCTATAATTTGTTTTGTTTAATTCTGACAATTCCATCGACAAGCGTTTCCATAGAAAGAAGTTTTTCGTGCTTAAAAAGATTAAAAACTTTTACAAGAAACACTATTTCACAAGATAGACTATCCAGTTTGACTGTTACCGCATTTCATAAAGAACTGTTGAATGAACTTATGCAGAAGCATCTTTTCCACGAGGATATTATTGATATATTTGCCTCCTTAAAAGACCGAAGGATTGACTTGATTTATAAAAACTAGATAAGTCAGTTCTATTAGTATATCTAATACTGCTTTTTTTGTTTAAGTATCAATCAATCAATCAATCAATCAATATTCTTTATTTCATCTGACTTTTACAAGTATTGAAATGCGTCAAAGTACAATCTAAAAAACTATAGGTACATAGGTAGTAAAAAAAAGTAAAAACTATAAGCACAATCATAAAACATAAAATATACACAAAAACATACAAATTGTTAAAAAGATGCCTGCAAGTATTCCTCTAACGAATAAAAAGTGTTTGCCAGAAGTAATTTCTTAACTGTTCTCTTAAATACATCAATATTTAACTCTTTAACATAATTAGGTAATTTATTATACAAACTAACGCATAGTTTATTCGTCTTCCGGGTTTGGACCGTGTCATTTGTGAGTGACCCAAAAGTGGGTTCATCTCGACGTTTCGCTACAATTGTATGTAGCTTCTTCAGGAGAACAAAAAAAGAAAGAAAGAAGAAAACAAAGAACAGGAAGATGGGTAGTTAGCAACGGTAACTCAGTTACTCAACGCAACCAGAGGCGAATACTAACTACCAAGATGGGCATTTGGTCACAGTAACTCAACTACTCAACGCAGCCAGAGGTGAAAACCAAATGCCAGGACAGGGATTCACGTCCAACAGCTCAGAACACTAACGCGTCGAGAGGCGGGGAGTGAATCCGACGATTACTCCGCTACCGCTCTATTTATAGTCGCGGTGCCTGTCGTGTCAGGACGTATCGGCACACTTCGTGGCGCGAACGTCAAGAAGCGACACGACAGGCACCGCGACTATAAATAGAGCGGTAGCGGAGTAATCGTCGGATTCACTCCCCGCCTCTCGACGCGTTAGTGTTCTGAGCTGTTGGACGTGAATCCCTGTCCTGGCATTTGGTTTTCACCTCTGGCTGCGTTGAGTAGTTGAGTTACTGTGACCAAATGCCCATCTTGGTAGTTAGTATTCGCCTCTGGTTGCGTTGAGTAACTGAGTTACCGTTGCTAACTACCCATCTTCCTGTTCTTTGTTTTCTTCTTTCTTTCTTTTTTCTTTTTTTGTTCTCCTGAAGAAGCTACATACAATTGTAGCGAAACGTCGAGATGAACCCACTTTTGGGTCACTCACAAATGACACGGTCCAAACCCGGAAGACGAATAAACTATAATTCTGACTCTGGCCGTGGAAGCCTACGATTTCATTTAAACTAACGCATGTTGGGTAAGGACCCTTGCCCACAACAGTCAAGTGACGAGCAGGGGTCACCAAATCATTTCTGTAACGAAAATTGTAGCCACTCATTAAGGAAACATCATTTCTGCAAATAAAATTACATCTATGTGACTTTACATATACAACACAACTGAAAATATACAGCGAAATTACAGTTAAAATATTTAATTGTTTAAAAATTGGTCTACAGGAATCCAAGCGCCTTCTAAACGTCATGGTACGAATAATTTTTTTTTGAAGAACAAGCACCTCATTAATACGCGAGCAATTTCCCCAACAAACTAAGCAATATTGCAAAATTGACTGTACATGAGCAAAATAGTAAAGTTTCAAGATTTCTAGGGAGACAAAATTTCTAAGTTGCCATAGAACATAACAGTGTACAGAAAATCTTCCCACTACATAATCAACGTGAGAACTCCAAGACAAATTAGAATCCAGAGAAACACCTAACAACTTGGTAGAGTCGCTATTTACCACAGACCCATTGTCAAGCCTTACTAATGGACTCATCTTCATAGTAGAAGGTGAAAAGGTTACCATATTGGTCTTTGATCCATTTAAGATTAGGGCATTATTTAAACAGTAAAGACTCATACTTTTTACAAGACAGTTTGCTTTTTGAACTACATGAGAAAAATTATTGGAATTTAGTGCAACTGTGGTATCGTCAGCAAATTGAGTGATGTAACAGCCTGATTGCTGTTCCAAGTTTTCTCCTCGAACGCTTATTGCATCAGAAAAATTATGTAATGGATTCCGAACCAAACATGTTGAGCTTTCGTTTATCAGTTGATTTAAATCGTTGACGAAAATCAATCTCTTCGCCCTCGGTTCTAGTATCATCACCATCATCATTCCGCAACCTCTTGCATCCAATTTTGGATATAGATCTCCTCCATATTCTTCCATATTATTCTTCCATTCCAAACAAACCTCAATGAAATGTCGAAGGTTCAGAGTTAAAATACTCCAGACCAGCAGAACGAATCGTATCTAGTATAAGTGCCCTAAATAACTGTTTTCAAGTTATTAGAGCCCTAAACTCTACATTTTTTTAACGAATTTTTAATGAGATTTGGTCGCGACGTAGGTACCAAAACTCCTTTTGGCTCCAGCAAGGTTTCCTCATCTTCACCACTTTTTTAGGCCACGAGCCGCCGCTGACCTAGGGAGCTAAAAATTTGGCAAAAGGAGTTTCTGAATATATAATTTCGAATGTACAATCTGAAATAACAATCCAGCCCAGTTCAGATTTTACCAACTTATTCCGCTATAGTCTTTGATTAGATTTCAAATATGTGTAGTACTGTATTGATGAAATTTTAGTGATCCTGCTGCCGATGACTACAATCTACCCATAATAGACAAAAAAGATTTGCCCAAATGTAAAAAGTGTCAGAAGTTGGTAAGACCATACATTGTGTGGTTTGGAGAAAACCTAGATCTGAAAATTATGCAAACTGCAAGTGAGTATATTTTATTTTCTGTGCAGTCACTAATCATAAATGAGGAGCTTTTTTACAAAACTGCATAAATCCACTTTTTAAAAATTTTCAGGAGACGTAAAACATGCTGCAGCTGTTGTACTAAAATTTTCGAAATGTCAGAGAACGTAATCAATTGAGGTTAGATTTAGAGAAATCAAACGTTAATTAAGATTATTTTTATTGATTTGCATTAACAAAATATCGCCATGTCTGTGTTGGAGATATCGCGTTTTGTAAAAAAAGATGAGAGATATTAACTTTTGTCAAATTAACAATATCTTTGAAAAATAGTCAAAGTGGGTTTGCAATAAATGAAGGACGTCTTTTTTTTTCTTCAGTCACGGAATGAGATAGTGGGATTTGGGGAAGAGCCTGAAGAAAATCATTTTTATTTTTTTTTACAATGCTTCTAAAAGTTTCTGTTCCACTATCGAACCTGTAGTTGGCGCAGCATTTTATTTTGGTTGAAATATGTCTGTCCCTTGTTTTGATTTTCTTAACAATGAGGCGTTTGGTTTGGCTGATTCCTTTTATTTTTTGATAAATCATTTCAAGACTTTTGATATCGTATACCACCCAGTCTTGTCCAAGTTTCTGTACAGAGCCAAACTCCTCGTAAATAGAAGCATACTCTTCGCTCGAGATGATTGTATCAGTTTTTTTCAAGCGCTTCTCCACACGGCCAAAAGCTCGATCAGCTGGAAGAAAACTGTGGCCACGAGTCGGAAAGGTTACTTGAATTTTCTGTACATTCTCTGGAGCCTCATTTTTAAGCCAATGGCACAAAACATGAACAATATGAGCATTTTTATTTTGGCCAGCGCAACCATCACAAAACAACGATACTGCGGAAAAAGACGAAAGATCTTGGCGTCTTAAGTGATGGATGAGTGCAGATCCGATTTCATTTGCTCCTCTTCTTCCCTGCGTTTCATTCCACGTATAAAATGTTGGTGCCTTTGAGTCAATAGGTACACAGCAAAATGCATAGAATGCAATTTGTCGGCAATAAAAGGCATCGCCGACTGGAGTTTTAATGAGTGGATGGACTTGTTGCAAATCAAAAACAAAACTATAAGTATCATTGGGAACTTCCTTCATTAGTTTGTAAAACGCATCCGCTCTCAGCTTGTGAATACGAAGTTCGGTCATTGGATTAATTCTTTCAACTGAGCCGCGAGCGTTTTGTTGAATAAGATATTTAAGACGAGTGCACGTAGCGCATGCGTCTGTAGAGCTGGAGAGGAAAATCCAATGTTAAAATCGGTTACAAAAATACGGTGAAAACATGAATAGCTCACGTGCAAATCGGCAGTGTAAGCATCCTTAAACATTTTATATAAATAATTTACACTTAACTCTGCTGAAAGGTAAACTCTCTTACTTTTTCCTCTTCCATAATGAGATTCGACACAATTTAGTTTACCAAGAAATTGACGGACTGCTTCCTTTTTGGCTCTGAAAAAAGATTCTCGTCGATAACCACCTCTATTTTCTTTGGACAGCAGACCTTGATTGACGATCTTTCCAATTCGCAGTAGTCGAGAGGCAGGTACACCCATTGAGAAAGCAAAAAAATTTTTACAGACAGGAATCATGCGTTTCTCTTTTTGACTATTAAGAAAAAATTTCACAGAAACCGTTCTTGTGCGAGTTACAAAGACGGGCGCACCACTTCCCCTTCTTCTTTGGGGCTCGAAAGCAGAGATATATTTCATCAAATCAAGATCTTATTTCTCCTTACCCTCTGCCATGTAGACTGCTTTTCGATTAATTTTTATATCATCGTAGGATACCGTAGCACAACGAAGATTTTTCGAATTATGGGCACATGGTCTGGTCTTCTGTTTTAGAAACACTAAATGAGGATCACTATCGTTGTACTTCATAATTTTTGAACGCCCTCTCTCACTTGTTTTGATGGATCGTCTTTTTTTAGATCCCACCGATAAATTAGCAACGGTATCCATCTCAAAATAACACGCAAAACACAGAAACAACGTCGACATACAACGAATTCACAACATGCACTCTCATCGAACGGAAAAGTACTGATAATCTCATACAGTGTGGCTACGCTACACACTGTCAGTGCGACCCGTGAGTAATTTTAGAACTAACGAATATTATATTTTGTTTCACGAAACAACATCTGACTCTAGAGGATGCTTTTAAAATCAAACAAAAATAGTAGAGGCATGGTTCTGAGGATCGGAGGATTTGTGCAGTTTTGTAAAATAAAAACTAATTTTAATGGTTAGCTAAAGAAGGAGATGTTAAGTTTTGTATAAATAAAGACTGAACATGGAGTAAAGGTTTTTGAGTGGATTAATTAAGTTTTGTGGAAGAAACGTGATTTGTAGGCTCATGTTAAATGGGAAATATTGCCTTTTGACACATGTGACTTATACACAAGATCTAAGGCAGACCAAACTCTCGAAATTCAACAAAAAATGTATTTTAGCCGGAATTGGATTTATGCAGTTTTGTAAAAAAGCTCCTCAAATACTTTTGCCCTTTTAGCCTTGCTAATGACACGTTTAGGTATTAATTATGTTAATTTTATCTGTAGAAAACGTTATAGAAACTTGTGACATCTGTTTGGTGATTGGTACTTCTTCAGTGGTCTACCCAGCTGCAATGTTTGCTCCTAGAGTACTTGAAAGAGGTATGCCAGTAGCAGAGTTCAACTTAAATGAAGAGCCAGCTGATGAAATGTTCACTTTCCATTTTCCAGGCAAATGTGGCTCTACATTGCCGAAAGCTCTAGAAATTGATTTAGAATGATAGCTTCTTCTTTTAGATAATTTATTTTGTTATATTGTAAAGTAATTTTAAAATGGGTTTATTATTATGGTAATCAGAAGGTTGACTGGAAAGTTGGTTAAAAATTTAGAAATCATTCTGAAAGCAAATTATACAAATTAAATACTATCATGTAATGGGAAAGTACAACATATATTAAATATTTTTTATAGTCGCAAAACAAGATTTATACCATATGAGGAAAGTTTTAAACAGTTTTAGCCTGCCACTAGTATCGTAAAATAATATTGCATGCGATAGTCAATATTTTTCTAAAAGTTTCTGCACTTTCTTAATTTTCAATGGATTTGAAACAGTTGCTGTATCGATTTTTTACTTATTTATAAAGGCCTAAGGTTTATAGCATACTTTTTTAACGAACGTCGTATAAAAATTAGCTCATGTTGGTGATCACAACAGCGAATGCTTCGTGACCTTCTATTATATGGAAAAGTTGACCTGCATTTCTTATTTTGGTTCAATTTCGAATGTTGTTTAGCCAAGAAATATGTGAGAGACTTCTATTTTTTTTGAAAATCAGTTGTGATCTTGGATATTCGTGTCCCCTAAATATATTATTTAATTAAATAAGATGTTTTTTCTATTTTGTAACACTTTCTATAATTCTTCTATTCTTGTTTACTCTCCTTAATACTTCTAGCATTGATTAAAAACTATACATGAATAGCTTACTGTAAGGTAAAAACGAATTCAGTGTAACATTCCGCCCACTTAGACCTCTTTGCTCCGCAAGTGTAAGTGTTTGTCAGGACGGAGGCGACATTTAGTGAAATGTTTGCCAAGATGAAAAATAAATTTGAGTTGCTTGGTCTGGCTATTGTCTGGCATAATAAATAACGATATAAGGGTAGTATTCAACATTTTCACAAATAATTTTAACGCGCTTGCAATTTCTATTATGGAATTCCAATTTTACTTCAGATAAAACGCTAAAAATTGATTAATGAAAACGGTGAAGGGTATATCTAAAAATTATTTATTTATCAATACACTACTAAGGAACAACAAAATAAAAAAAACGTAATAAAATTAATAGTGAGAATTTACAAGTAAATTATATTTTTGTAATTTTTAAAAGAAAATAATTCCCAGAACTGATACGCAATAGAATGTTTCAAGCTGATATACAGAATTTATTTCCAGATTACTCTTGAATATTTTGTGATGGCTCGAAATGTCACACAAAAGTAACGTCAGCGTTTTACGATCCAGAAAAAAACTCAATTGTGTTATTAAACTAGGTAATAATACTACCATATTTACAGCTAAATTAATCGCAATACTTTATATCCAAATATATTATTAATTTACCGGAAATAAAACCTAGCTATGTAATTTTTTTCTGAGAGTAACATTGCATTACAAAAAATTGACAATTGTTCATAAACTTTTGATAATATGGGCAACAAAGAAATGGGTCGATAATTGTTGTAATCACCAATAGAGCCTTTATTCTTAAACAGAGGTACTACCTTTGCAGTTTTGAAAAATTGAGGATAAGTATTACAAGATATTGATTGGTTTATTAAAGTTGTTAGAGCTTGAACAATTATATTTTTAATTGTTTTAACAATTTTTGTGTTAAATCCATCAAGATCTTTGCTGTTACTATTTTTTATTTCTGAAATAGCTAAGTCAACTTGGCACTAAAGTTCACTGGCTGAAAACTAAAACGTGACATCGCCACGTTAACGGAGAAAATAAAACGTTAGATCGGCGATATTCAGCCACATTTATACAAAACTATCATGAACCATATGCTAGCAAACCATTATAGGCCATTTACCGAATATATTCCTGCATACATAACTCTATCCCTTATGATTTAGGAGTGAATTTAAGATTGTTGATAATGTTCACTTAAAAAGTAGTTTCAAATAATTAGATTTATCAGTTTGTCCTATCTTTGGCATACTCCAGATTAGGACATTGTTAATTAATATTATGTTACACAATGTTGAATAAAAATGTTATTTTGTTGAAAACTGTTATAGATTTATTATTATAGAATTTTGTTTTTTGTTAATATTAATTTTACAGTTAATCGAACTGTGATAAAATATATTTTCAGTCAGAGAATGATCTGTATAAAAAATATATATATTTGAAATAATATTGATTTTTATTAATCCTGTTTTACAACAATATTCCTAATACCGCATCTAATGACTTGGTTGTATGTATACTCGGTTCACAATTTGTTGATAGCTCACTACAAGTTTAATCCTAATTAGAGAACTGAAATACAGAGAGGATAGGTAATACGATATAATAGTAAAAACCAACCTGAAACTGACGATTTAAGATGTTTTCGACTAACCCACCTTGTATCTGCCGGAATACAATACAGCGTTCAAGCTTATAATCCGATTAGGAACGTATTTTGGCCGACCAGTGTCGTAGAGTATATGATTGAAACATTTGTTTGAACTAAATAAATATATTTTTTAAATTGTATTTTTGTTTTAATAAAACTTGTAATAAAATAAATATTTTATTCAAAAATAAAGTTTTTTGCCATTTGTAAAAGATACATTTATTTAATTAAGGGGAAAGGCACCAAATGTGTTTTAAATGTATCCATTATTTTCGAATTCGGAGAAAACTAATAAATATTTTTGAAATATTTAAAAGCAGAATGAAAGATTACATTATTACTGAGGGTATTATATATGTGTATACTGATGTATATTACAGAAAGTCCCTGAAAACTTCTACAATGTTTATTTTATTATGTTATGCAACAGGGGTGAAATAAAAAAGAGAATATAGTATAATTGAAAATTAATTTAATTAATTAATTAAATTGATTAATTTAATTGAAAATATTGCATGCAAAAGAAACTTTTTATTTATTCTAATAAATATTTTATTCTGCCTTTAAATTTTTTCAAAAGGGCATTTTAGTTTTCTCAGGATTTGAAAAAAAATAGATACATTTAAATTACATTGAACATTTTGACAGGCGACGTTTTGCGCCTTTCCCCTTTAATACCTTACGATTACAACTACTATCACTTATCTTATATAATTACGATTAGAAAACTATTCAAATTCAAAATAAATAGGATCAACTTCGGAATCCGAGTCGTCTTGAGGGTTAATAATTAGCGGTTGTGTCTCTACGGTCGCATCAATTATGTTATCAAGATCCCACATTTTTTGTTCTCCTTCTATTACATGTCTTACTGCATCTTTCCAGTTTTGTTATGTAATGTGTTGTAAAGACTCGTATAACAATTCACGTACAGCTTGTATTTTATATGACGTATTTTTTCTAGCCACATAACTTTTCATTTGTGCCCAATGAGTTCAATTGGATTTATTTCGCAGTGGTAGGGTGGAAGTCTAAGGACTGTGATGTTTCTCCTTTCCGCCATTTTGTCAACTACGTATTTCTTGAACTTATATTTGTGTTGCCGGGCAATTTTTAAAAGTTCTACTTTTACCATTCCATTTTCGTAAGGCAGGTACTTATTCCGCAGCCAGTCAAGAATATCCTGTTTTTTCCACGCAGTCGTTGGAAGTCTTTTTACTAGTCGTGAATGATAAGGTGCATTATCTAATACTATAATTGAATTTGGTGGTATGTGTTCAATCATTTGCACAAAATACTGTTCGAAAACATCAGCTGTCATCTCCTCGTGATAGTCTTTTGTGCTTTTGGACTGAAATTCCAACAAACCATGCTTAACAAATCCTTTTTCACTGCCAATGTGAGAAATTATTAATCTACTGCCTTTACCAGAAGGTGGGGAGATACCAGTAGACCAACCTTCCATAAAGGCTTGCCTGGAGCTTAATATATTTTTATCTGACCAAACTTTTTTTTAGAGTATGACCTGAGTTTACCCACGATTCATCCTGGTAGAAGATTGGCCTTCCTTCAGCCCGGAATTTTTCGTATGGATCTTAGATAATTTCTTCTCCAACATATTATCTCCTCCCGGTCAATTAAAAGTGATTTTCGGTCTGATTTCTCCCACCGGAAAGTTAATTCTTTTAAAACTTGCCACAATTTAGTTCGTCCGATATGAGGCAAATCCGGATCATCTCTAACTTCTTGTAAAATTTTATTTAGGTTTGGTATTTCTTTTTTGAAAAAAAAATCCATGAATTTTCCTTCGAGTATCATTTTTGGCAAATTCATCAAGTTCAATAGGCTTTTTTCCTCTCTTTAAGTGTTCGTTTGTGTTTGGGTTAGCTATACCGTGTTTTTTTCTTTCTGATAGGAACCTATATATAGTTGACTCCCCTACGCAAGTCATGTTGGCACAACTTTCGACTATGTTGCGAACAGTGTTTGTGGGATTCTGAGAAACCAGAGCATCGTGAACATTCAGGACAATAGTCTTCTCTCTTGGTGAATAGACAGACTTACTGACTGTACGCAACGGTACCGGTGTAAAACTTGATGATGTTGATGATGAAGCCATCACAAACAATCCAACAAAACGAGCACGAGCGAAAGGTAGGTATATGGAATAAAAAATCACTCACGCACTGCATATAATTCGCAAAAGAAATATTCGAGGCGCTAATTACTGCCGTAGAAGCGGAAACACCGACGAGCCGTAAATTACATGCGATCAAAAACGTACTAAACAAACAAATTGTTTTCGTTCGTAATAACTTCACCCTTTTAAGTTAAGTTTCGAATATAAACTAAAACAGACCAGGGGCGGCTGGTCCTATGAGGCAGGTGAGGCAGTGCCTCACCAGTATTAATCGACTATTTACGTTCTTTAACTACAATTTAACTTTTTGGAATTTTCTAAATAACTTTATTTTCATTATGATAAAAAATTAAAATAGGTACCACCCTGATGTCTTATCTTTGTATATTTCTTCATAATCTACGGGCCGGACAAGGGACAAGCTTAAACCACAAAATATTAAATAAACAACGGCGCCTATCATCTGTGCATCTCATTCTCTCTTTAAAAATTATAGCCGAGGCAAGCCTCACGGCATTGCTCTGTCTAGCATGTTAGACATCACATTATGTAGCGAAATTCAACATGATTTATTTATTTTCAGCCCACTATTTCACCGAACAGGAGAGGCAAGCCTCTCTCCTCTCTCGTTTGGTGTAGTTCTTTTAATTAGCAGCGTTGCCGTTTTGGTACAAAGGTACCCCAATTCGCTACATTTTTTCCCTCGGGGTATAAAAGTACATTTTAAATAAAATATAGATTTTTATTGAAAATTGTAACAACATTGGAGTATTTTCCTTTAGTAGATGGTACTATACATATTGTTCTATTGTTTTCCGATTTAACAAACAATTTTTTTTCTATGCATTTACCAGATTAGCAACTTTGGTACATTTTGGAACATTTCTGCAAAATTGTTGTAGTAAGTAGTAGTTAAATTACTTCCTGTTGGCCTGTTGGTGCGGAGCAGGATCACGTTTGACGTATCTCGTGTTGTTTTCCATTAAAAAAGCAGTAAGATTACATGTTATATAAGTGCAATTCTAATTAAGTTTTTTTAATAATTTTGGTGGGTTTGTTTTTGTCTGCAGGATTTTCGGTTTTAGTGAAAAATGGATTTAGCACCGAGCACTTCGTCACAAACTTTCCCAGGTAATGTAAATATTCGTAATACTTGTAATCTCGTAAATTTTTTAGTCAAACAGCAGAATTTTTCAAGTCATTCATATGAAGATAAATTATATATAGTTAAAGTAGTAAAACGACCTATTCCAGATTTAAGTAAACATCTTGTTTCTATCGGTGGCGTCGGAAAACCAAATCGGGGATTTCAAAATGCATGGTACGAAAAGTTTGACTGGCTTACGGGTAGTATAACATTAAATAAATTGTTTTGTTGGCCATGCATTTTATTTGCCACAGCTAATACTAGCGACAAAGTTTGGTTCAAAAATGGTTACACTGATTTGAAAAAATTTGTCTCGGAGTCTATTGTTACACAATAAAAGTTCTCAACATATTACATCGAATTGCAAGCTTACTCTTATGAGAAAACAAAAGCAAAATATCGCTACAGCACTAGACAATTCGCGTAAAATAGATATTGAAAATTTCAATGCTAGGGTTAAAGAAAATCGGCAAATTTTAAAAAGCCTTATAGATATTACGTCAGACCTCTGTATGCAAGAGTTACCGTTTAGGGGGCATGATGAATCTAATGAATCTTTAAATTGCGGGAATTTCAAAGAGCTAGTTGTTCTTGTTAGTAAATTTGACACTAATTTTAAAAACATTTTTAGAACATGATAATGACTCTAGATCAGTTTTTTCTGGGACATCTAAAACCATACAAAATGAATTAATCGATTCAATTGCTTTTGTTATAAATAAAAAAATTGAGGAAGAAATTTCAAAATCATTATTCTTTTCCTGGCAGGTGGATGAGACTACTGATATAAGCTGCCATTCACAACTATCCGTTATTTTTCGTTACGTAATAAACAATAAACCAGTCGAACGATTCATAGGATTTTACGATGTAAGTTCCGGGCGTTCTGCTCAAGATTTATTTGAATTTTTATCTACAAATTTGATCGTGAAGAAGATGGCACTAGATTAGCAGTCGCCATTTATAACACTTACTAATAAATCTCCCAGATAAAAAATACCTACTAACCCCTAAAAAAATATAAAAATCCCAAAAAAATTAATAAAAAATATATAAATTCAAAAAAAAAATATAAAATAATAAAAAATTTACAAAAAAATTATAAAATTACAAAAAGGCCACGGGAGAGGTCACCTAGATCCTTGAGGCTACAACTTGACCGCTAACCAAGGTGCATGTTCGAGGATTACAGCTCCCTCGTTTTTCGTTCGCTTTTATCTTACGATATGAGATTTCATGATAAACGGGAAGTAAGTCGCTTAACGACACCTTGGGTATGATTTAAGTTACATTTATGAGCACCCTATTACACATGGTGCTCATAAATACAGCTCAATCGCGGACTTTTTCAAAAAGCAAGTCAGCCCTTATGTTGCACCTTCAGTGCACATAAGGGAGGGTGGAGGAGGGCTTAGCTGAGCTTTGAGGTGAGGATGACTTTTGTTGATCCGCGCGCGTATCGTCAGAAGTCCTTCTCACGCCAAGTCATTGTTTGCTGGCGCGAG